CCCCCCCCCCGGCCTCCCCGTCCCCTGGCAGGAAGATGTCCCACACGTCCCCAGTTATCTGCGGCCTCAGGAAATGGCCCTGTGACGTCAGCCTTCCGGAGCATTCTAGAAGCCCGTTTTGAGTGCTCTGCAGTTCCTGCCATTCAGGGAGACATCCTGCAGGCTGCCTATATGGCGAGCGGCCTACATAGGTGTTTGTTTCAGGGCCTGGCCTGTGGATGGGGCTCCAGGCCTTCTCAGAACCGCTGGGTTTCCTTTGTGTGCTTGTCTTTGAATGAAAACTGTTTCCTGCTTGCTGGAGAATGTCAGTGAGAAAAGGGGTTTGGGTCAGAGAGAGATTGGGATAAACAGTGTTACCAGTTAGGTGTCTGTCAGCACTGGAAACGGTTCTGTGGGATCAGCTGCAGATTCCCTGGCAGTGAGACACACTGGGACATGTTGAAGGGAGCAGCTGACTCAGCACCCCATTCAGATTATAAATCATCTGATACCAGATTAGCAGTAGGGACTAGTTAGTAATCCTATCTCCTTTTTGATTGTTCATATTTCCAGAGGAATCAGGTTAACAAAAGTTTACTGTGTGGGACCATATGGATCAGATCTGAGATGGTTTCAATGTGTAAAGTTCGTACCAGCATGTGATAAACCACTTAGAAATCATAACCCAGGGGGCCATAAGGGAGGGAGGAGTCAGGATTGTGGCCCCTGTGATGGGGGCCCTAAAATATTTGAAACATAATGGATTGGTCTGTGTTGGGGGCCCAATATGATATGTTTTCATGGAGCACAAAGTCTCTATCAGCGTCGCTGCCATAACCCTAAGAACACAAGCAGACACCAGACGGGCGGGTGAAGTTAGGGTCTGTGACCTCTCCGTCTCACTGACCGCTGACCCCTTGACCTCCACAGGCCGAGGGAGATGTGGCAGGTTTGAACCGCAGAATCCAGCTGGTGGAAGAGGAGCTAGACCGCGCCCAGGAGAGGCTGGCCACTGCGCTGCAGAAGCTGGAAGAGGCGGAGAAGGCGGCCGACGAGAGCGAGAGGTAGGCCCGGGGGTCCATGGGGTGCGGCGTGTGGGGGATTCACAGCTCCCTGACTGCTTTATGTCTGGGCAGGGGGATGAAGGTGATCGAGAACCGGGCGATGAAGGATGAGGAGAAGATGGAGCTCCAGGAGATGCAGCTGAAGGAGGCCAAGCACATCGCCGAGGAGGCCGACCGCAAGTACGAGGAGGTGAGGCGACCGAGAGAACAGAGACTCCGCGACCACGCCCGTGTGTGGGTGCCCCCCTTCCCCACTCATCTGGCCGGGTGTCCCGCAGGTGGCACGTAAGCTGGTGATCCTGGAGGGGGAGCTGGAGAGAGCTGAGGAGAGGGCAGAGATCTCCGAGCTGTGAGTGCCTGTCGTCCTCAGCCTGTCATGGCTTACATACCATCCTCTTAAGATCAAATGGGAATTGCCAGGAGGCGTGTCAGAGGTTGTGGAGGGGCGGGGCTTATAACTGAAACTGCTTCTCTGAGAAATCCACTTATCCCTGGGTCACACTGATATTTATGTTGTAGAATCTCTTCACAAGCTCTTTGTCAGGGTGCCAAGGCCTGGAGCATAGGGCGGGGGGGGGGAGTAGACTAAATATTTAAGAGCGGCCCCTTCATTCATAAAATGAATTCAGTGAAGAGTTGGGCTCTTTAGTTGCAGATTTCAAGTGGAGGGGCTTTGCTGGGGAGGCCACGGACAAGCCAGCTAATATCCCCAAATGAGGAGTCATGCTCTCTTCTCCTCACAGGAAGTGTAGCGATCTGGAGGAGGAGCTGAAGAATGTCACCAACAACCTGAAGTCCCTTGAGGCCCAGTCAGAGAAGGTGAGTCCTCCTTCTGTCAGGGAGGGTGAGTCTTCAACCCATATCCAGTCAGAGTTGGGCCTTACTGGGCTCGACTGGCTAGTAGGCTCTCCTACTGGGAGTTGTTTTGAGACACATAGACGTCTGGCCAGTGTTTCGGCCGTCCCGCTGACGGGATGAGTGACCTTCCTCTCCCACGTCCACAGTACTCAGAAAAAGAGGACAAATACGAAGAGGAGATTAAGCTGCTCAACGACAAGCTGAAGGAGGTGAGAGGTGGTGGGAGGCAGGGTCCCGACAAGCGCGCGCGTGAGTCTGTATGTGCGTGCGGAGGCGGGCTGTCACCATGGTGACCACAGCGCCTCACTCTGATTGGCCACAGGCTGAGACCCGCGCGGAGTTCGCCGAGAGGACGGTGGCCAAACTGGAAAAGACCATCGATGACCTGGAAGGTATGAATATGGCCCGCTCGCCCCTCCTTGACATTTTAATGCTGCTTTTGCCTCTCTGCCTGTTTCCTGTCCTCTCCTCCCTTTCCTCTCTGATCCTCTGCTGTCTTCCTCTCCTCGCTCCTGTCTGCTGGCCTCCCACCTGCAGATGAGCTTTATTCCCAGAAGCTGAAGTACAAAGCTATCAGCGAGGAGCTGGATCACGCCCTGAATGACATGAGCTCCCTCTAGGCCTCGCTCTGCCACTGGCCCTGCCTTTCCTCTGCCTCTCCTGTCTATCTGGGAATTTCTCTGTAAACACGACGCCTTAATAAAGTTCTCTCTGTCCAACAAAGACTTTCTGTCTTCCTTCCTGTACTTCTCTTTCTAACACCCTGTTTGGTGGTTCCCTATCGTACATTATCTCGTGCTGATATGCTATTGTTTCTTCCGGGACTGAGGTGGTAAGAACTTCACTGCTCCACTCATTTCGCAGTGCAGCCTCATCCGGCCTCGAGCGTGTGGAGATTCTAGAGACGGACATTTCAGATCCACAAAGTAAAAATCCAGGCCAATATTTTGCTCAGTACTCTGTGATTCTGGCTCTTCAAATATTTAAATGGTTGGTTGAAACAAAATCTTGGTCTGTATTTTTAATTTCTTGATGTGAAATGTCCACCTCACAGCAACAGGTTGGCCGTAACCTCCAGCTCTCTCTCCGCAGAGAAACTGTCCAGTGCCAAGGAAGAGAATCTGGGAATGCACCAGGTGCTGGATCAGACACTGCAGGAGCTAAACAGCTTGTAACATGAAAAAGGTGGAAATGAGCGGGAAAGCAGGGCAGCTGGCAGTATTCCGCGCCGGTCCTGTCCCACGTTCTGGGCTGGAGGATAGAGACGGCGTCCATTTCCTCTTCTGTACTTTCTTGTTAGTTTATTTCTCCATCGGTGCCGCTTTGTCTTTCGTCTGTGTGAAATGTAGAAAACGTCCCGTCCCTTCCGTGTCCCTCGTCGCATGCTCTCGCGGTGTCACATGACTGGGTCCAGAGCGACGGAGCAAAGCAGCCTGGAGCACTGCAGCACCGGGAATTATGGGTATTCTGTCTGTTTCTTTACCGTTGGCCGTGCTGCTGAACCCACAGGGGAAAACAGAACGCTGTTTGATGGGTATTAGACGTATATAGTAGGTAGAACCAAATATATGTTAAATTTATGTAGATTTAAGAGTGAAAGCATGGCTTTATACTTGGTAAAGTATCAGAGAATCCTACTGTCCAGCTCTCTACTTCTATCTTACATGTTCTCATCAGTCGTATTACGTTTGGTACACGGGCATGTCTGGGGTGGGACGTTTTGGAATTTTGCAGGGCTGCTGCTTTCTCTTCGGGGGCAGACACTGAAATCCTGGGCTTCCCTGCAAAACAGTAAGCCAGCAAATCTGGCAAAGTCCAGCCCAAATACCCAAGCATCACCTCGACCACTCCTGTCCTCAGAAGGAAAGGCTGGGATTTATCAAATGTGTCTGCGTGGACTGTGTTGTGTCACGTCACGGTGAGGCTGCCTTACATTCCAGGACCACATACTGTACCAAGCAGCTCACTGCGGCCTTTCTGTAACTGTGTTCAACTTTACCTGTCCAACTCTGAGTTCTAATAAATTTTTACAAAAAACCCTTCATGTCTTTGCTGTCTTGGTCATTTCAGGTGACTTTTAAGCTCGTGGGGTTGTAAGCTGTTGTACTTTCTCATTATTTATGTGTAGTGTTGTCACTGCTTTACTTAAAAAGATAAAATACCATTGATTGAAAATGAATTAATCGCCAAAAGAACAAAGCTTCATTTGTCTAAAGCATGTTGAGTCCGTCTCACTGCGGACAGGATATCCCCTAATTTCCAAACTAAAAAGTTAAGAAACGTGAGTTTTATATTAACGTCGGGAAACGCAGAGCTTTGGAACCTGGGTAGCGTTTGACCTCTAGTGGGCAATTTACAGTAGGACAGTTATAGTTATCCAGGCTTCGTTTCCAAATGTTTCAAACATTTTGCCCTGCAAATCACGATATAATATTTTGAACTTAATCTTTAGTTGATGTATTTTACTAATGTCTATTATTTCATATTAGTTCCAATAGAATGTCACACGGTTATTAACACGTTAGTTTACATTGTTCCTCTTCTCAGTTCCGCAAAGTAACGTCATCCTGCTACATTTTCACTCTTACAGGTCTACGTCTATTAATGAATACATAACGTAACGTATTTCCGCTTTCTGGAAGTTGTCAAATTGCAACGCATCTTTTTTCAAATTCAGTAGCCCTTTCTGTATCGGTGTTTCTTCCGCCCGTATAACGGTATGACGTTCTCTAGTATGACAAATACATTCAGCCTTTAAAAAATACAGTAAAAATATTTCTTGTGTGAAAAGAAATTTCGGAGCCCGACACTTCAAATAAGGGCAAAAATTATCAATTCGTTATTCGGACACGAATTTTCGGGTTGAATCGCGGACATGTAGTACATTGAAACAAATACGGACAAGGGGGGAGGGGTTACTTATGATTGACGTCTTGCTTGGCCAATCATATTGTAAAACTCTCAGTCAAGTAATCGAACCTCCAATTGATCGATGTATGCTTCTCGAATAACAACGTAAAACAGGGACAATAGGGCGGGTCTGAACTGTGACTGATTACCTTTGTATCCAATGACAGTGAACGGGGCCCTCCCACGTATCTAGGCGTGTGCTGGCCAGGGCCGGGCGGGATTTCCGCAATAGCAAGTAATATGGCGAAGACCTACGATTACTTGTTTAAACTGCTGCTGATCGGGGATTCGGGCGTTGGGAAGACCTGCGTGCTCTTCAGGTTCTCGGAAGATGCCTTTAACTCGACATTCATCTCCACTATAGGTAGGTTGCCGCCCGTAGCTCCGGGGCACAAGCCGTGACAGGCCAGCTGTCCGGGTTAACCTGCGGTGTGCTACCGGCGTATGGACGGCGCGGCTCCCCGCCTGCTCGGACTTACGCTAAGCCTCTTAACAACTGCTAGGCTCTGCCTCTCCAGCAGCGGGGCTCGGCGGAGGGATCACGCGTATCGAGGCAGAGTCTCGGTTCTGAAGGGCAGCCGGGGAATCCGGGGAGGGGAACGGGATGGGACAGATTGAGACAGACAGGGGGGGAATGGAGGGGCCTGGAGTGGCGGCGGGAGAGTAAGGGGCGGGACAGCGCCGCTGGGCTGAGCTGGGCTGGGCTGAGCTGGGCTGGGCTGAGCTGGGCTGAGCTGAGCTGGGCTGGGCTGGGCTGGGCTGGGCAGGGCTGGGCAGGGCTGGGGTGGCCGGCACCGGACCGTGGAACAAGAGGGGACCGGACCAGAACGGGACAGACTCACTGTAACTCTCTCACTTAGGTACATTTACCGGTAGTGCTGTCCTGAGCCGCTGTAGTATCGTTAACATTTAATTCGGCAAAAACCTCCAGACTGTGAGATTAGGCAGATCGCTTAATGATGGTGTCCGTGAGATTTTAACGAGCTGTTTTAATGGCTGCTGTGTGTGGCCAGAAGGACAGTGATAGTGAAAGCAACTAGGCGTACCTCATCTTTCATCCACAAACATAACAAATGGGGGATTTTAGCACCTTAACTTCCTTCAGGTCCCATCTTGTGCAGCTGATCCTCTCTAATTTTCTCATGCAGGCATCGACTTTAAGATCAGAACCATTGAGCTGGATGGAAAAAAGATCAAGTTACAGATATGGTAAGTCACATGATACCATGGAGTTTGAGCCAGACCCCGCCCCTCTGAAAATGCACCTCTGAGCAGTTTCACTGCCCTGCAGGGACACAGCTGGTCAGGAGCGCTTCCGGACCATCACAACGGCGTACTACAGAGGAGCCATGGTATCTTGGCCCCACCCACCTCCACCTGTGATACACCCCCTTTTCACAAACCACACTGATTCTTAATGTGGAACCAGGCTTCTGTGAGTAAGAACAGTTGAATCTGATAATTCCTCATTTCAGGGAATAATGTTGGTGTACGACATCACCAATGAGAAGTCGTTTGACAACATTAAGAACTGGATAAGGAACATAGAAGAGGTAGGAAGCTATTCATAGAAGGCTTTAAGGTAGGAGCTCAACTAAGGCATAGCCCCGGTTTAACTTGCTGTCTGTCGGCCTAGCATGCCTCAGCCGATGTGGAGAAGATGGTCTTGGGAAACAAGTGTGACGTCAATGACAAGCGTCAAGTCTCCAGAGATCAGGGGGATAAGGTGAGAGCTGTCTCTCCCCCCCGAGGAAATGCAGAGTCATTAGCACATTTGCCACTGACACTGGTCAGCTGTTCAAGTCTGACCAATCTGTCCCTCTTGATCATCTCAGCTGGCATTGGAGTACGGCATCAAATTCATGGAGACCAGCGCCAAGGCCAACATCAATGTGGAGAATGTGAGTTCACGGCACCTGCTCTGGTTCTCTGCGGGGTGAAAATGCACTGAAGTGGGCATCGTGGGGAATGTGCCGATCCAGATGTTTGGAGACAAATATGAGGGATGTAGGCTGCCTTGAGGAAGAGCAGATGTTTTGGTCAAGGTTGGTCCGTCAGTGGCAGTTGATTAAGGCTCATACTGTTTCTCCATGATCCTGTCAAACATAGCATGACTCATCCTGTGACATAATTTGCTCATACCAGGAGTACTGCTCTGTCTCACCAGGCCTGAATACAGGAAATGCTATGCTGAAAATAGAAGAATGGGATTCTGGGAAGTACTGTTATTTATCTGCCGACTGTGTAACATGGCATTCTATCCTCCATCTTCTGTCTCTGTCTAGGCATTCCTGACTCTGGCCAGAGACATCAAGGTGAAAATGGACAAGAAGCTGGTAAGATGGCTTCCTCTTCTGACTTTCTGTTTTATTTGCTTTTTTTAGAAGCTCGAGTTACAGAAGGGGAACTGCAGCTCCACCATGTGTGAGCTGGCCAGAGGCAGCAGGGCCATGTGCCTGCAGGAAAGGGCCACACTGAAGGGGGGCCATTTCTCTCTTTGGGGGCCCGGGGTTGTATCTGAAGTCGTCAGGTGATAGATCAATGGGGAAGAGTGTGAACTGTGCAACCGGGAGGGTATTGGGTTTGTGTTTTTATTTAGAGATGCACATTTTTTGAGAGAGCAGGGTCAGATTGTCCATGGAGAAACTGGGGGGGGGGGGTTACAGGCCGGAAGCATGGGATGCTGATCATGGAATTTGAACCTGGGACCTTCCGATCAGATGTTGGGTTCTGCCCCGGTTCTGACTGGGTCGTGTTGTTTTCCGCCAGCAGGGCAACAATCTGGAAGGGAGCAGTCAAGGCATGAAAATCACAAGCGAGCAGCAGAAGAAATCCAGCCTGTTTCGCTGTGTGCTGCTGTGACCCCCCCCCCACACCCCCCACCCCTAACCGGCGTGGGTGGAGGAGGTGCTGGGACTCTCAGGCTCTTACCTCCCTAACCTCCATCCACGTCTCCTGTGGTAACAGAGCTTCTGCCTTTTTTGTGTTGAGTACTGGGTATTCAGCAGGAGAGGACCATCTTGGAACCCATAGCTGGTGTCTGCGGTTCCCACCCCCCCCCAATCTTCACCTCTCCTCCATGCTGCACTCTAGCTTCAGCTTGGATGTGAAGGTGCCAAAGTTTCCCATATTTTCACCCAGGATTCGCACCCCACCCAAAAAAATAAGCGGGAATGCGCACCCCCACCTGCCGTATTCCTGTACCTCAAAGGTATCACCCCCCCAGCATCAAGAATACTGATCCTGTGCCGTTTTGTGTCCTATCTCACGTAATCTTGTGTTGAAGGCTTAATTACTTAAAAGAGGGAATTTTATTACAGAATGTCACGATGACAGCTCTTAGTTTCATCCCTCTCTTTTAGACTAACCATTCCCCACCCTTCCACGCCGTTATTCCATCAGACGGGCAGAGACATCCCCTCCTGTCAGATCCTGCCTTTCTGCCCTGAGTAGAAGCTTCCGGAACCACATTCCCATGAGTAAGCAAGGGTGATCTGTGGTGGATTTCCCTGCCGCAGCTTCTTCTTTCACGTTCGCTGTGGTGGAGCGTGCCGTGTGCTTTGCTGGCCTTGCGCAGAGTGTGGGGCGTGCCCTGAGGCTGCCCTTTAAAGCCAGCCGCCTTCCCCCACCCCCCTGGGACCTGATACCCTGTTACCGTGGCCTTTCACGTCATAAGTTAACCGACATTCCAGATTCTACCTCAGAGTAGCTGTCTGCTCAGTACACAAAGGTCTAATCCTTTAACCGAACCCCGCGCTCGCGGCTGTTTCAGGACAGCGCACCTTATGACATTCTGACCGTCTGCGTCTGCCACAGTATGCTGGCTTGCGCTCGTATTTTTAAAAAGCCGTGTCCTCATTTTGAACTGGTCTCCGGTTTCGATGGGGGCGTCTTTTTCAATTTTGTATATTGGTTAAACGATAAAATCCAGTTTTTGAATGAAAAAGAATTCAACACGGAATTGGCTGAAATAAGAGAAGCCCAGACGTGTGAAATGTAAAGAAGATCATTTTGGAAGTATATTCTGCAAATTGGGCTGCCGGTTCTTACTCAGCTTCTAGGGGGCCGGCTAGTAATGCTGCTGGGGTCAGAGTGACCCTGTTGGTTACGGCAACGTTGCATTTTCTCTAGGTGAGTGATTTAGACACTCTATTAGCCCTCTGTTTAATAAACAGGCGTATCAGTGGTGGGTGCATCCGTTTTATATCATATCCTGTTTATTTGCAAGAGATTCGGCAGATTGCTTAATGAGGGTGTCAGATTTTTGATGAGCTGTTTTATTGCCCGCCTTGTGCAGTACTTTGGCTTGAGGAGGAGCATCATGGTTGTTCCCGGCCCCGCCTCTCGATCTGGCCCCGCCCCTCGATCTGGCCCCGATTTGACCCCCTGCTTTTTTGGAACTATGCATCCTTATATTTGAGGTCTGTACATTTTTGTACATATATAAATAAACAGGTAGACTCAGAGTGTTTTGTTGAAAGAGGGGATTACATATCATGTTAGCATTCCCATGCTGCGGCTGATCTTATTCCGAGATTCTTCACTGCCTCCCAAAAGGTTTCCCGTCGAACATTCCCACCTACAGATCGGTAGGAGACGCACGCTGACCTCCATCTTGGTTTCCCTTTGTTCATATTCACGTCCCGGCACATTTCAAGCTGAATGTCGTGCTTCGGTGTTGCTGAGTCATTGCCAAAGATCTCCATCTGCTGTGAGGAGTCTTTACTGTGGTGATGCTGTGATGGACGGTGGTGCAGGTCGCCTCCTCTGGATGCCTGAGCTCTTCAGACTAGCCTCGGCCCCAGCTTCTGTGCCCTTTGGTCTTCCCAGGGATGCCCTATTCACTCTTTAACTGCTCCGACACCCTGCCTACTATGTTCTTCCTCAATTGCCCCCCCCCCCCCACCCAATCATATCACTTGGCGCGATCCGATTTTCTCGATACTGCGTTCCGGAGGCCGAATCTGCCTTGTTTCCAAATAAATTGTAAATAATATTGGCCAGTGAAATGGAAAATGACCAGTTGTCGTACTGTACCTTGTAGAATTGTATTGTAATGCTCTACGGCTGTGTAGATGCGGACTTTTGACGATTTATTAAACTCTTTTAAAGCAGCTCTCGTACTGTGATTTCTAAATACGATAGTCGTGGTATTTTTATTACTGTTGCTCTTAGAATGACTGAGTGCAACTTGGATTATTCATCTGGCTTTTAATATTTTTCTGAATTTCTTTAGAGTCTTGGCAGTTATAGTAACACCTGTAACATGATGGGGGGAAAACATTCCTCAGAAGAATGAGCTCCTCAGTGGTAACTTTGATATCGCTGTCACTCGGGATCAAGCGTCTGAGTGCTTTCAGTAATTCTGAAGGATCTGAAACCTTAATCATGGACGGGCTTCCAGGCACTGAGGACCCAGAAGAAATGCCTTCCTGAATTGTCCTGCGGCACCATCTCATCATTCTTCTTCCCATCCTGATTCTCCTGCTGTGTCCCGTCGAGGGCGCTGCCGATCCCTCAGATCCGGATATGGAATGTGCTGAGAGGCAGAAAGCAAAAGCAGAACACTCAGGTGCAGGCTGATGGAGCTGGGACGTGATTGCCTTAGTTAACAATGTTGAAGGTAACCGAAGTTCAGGCGAGTGAGGCGCTGCACCTGAGGAAGTCCGGGGCACGGACGATCATGTGCTGGAAGTCCTCCAGCGAGAGGCGCCCGTCGTTGTCCAGGTCGGACTCGTCGATCACCTTCTCGCACACCATGCGCACCTCATCCTCGGTCAGCTCGTTGCGAGTCAGCTTGTTCAGCGTCTTCTCCAGATCTGACTTGCAGATGTAGTCGTCGTCGTTGAAGTCTGAGCAGAGGGACAGATATCTCAGGTGGGAGGAAGGTATGGGGAGCTCCCCCCCCCCCCACCACCAGCTGTCCCGATCCTTCATCTTAAAGTCCTCCTCATTAAATGTCACCGAGGCTACCTGACCCCATCTCTGCAGTGCCAGGAGAGCTCCCACCCCGGCCTAACGTGACCCTGTCCCGTTTGACTGAGCCCAATGAGTGCCAGTATACAGCCCCTATGCTGCCCCCCCTCCTCCCCCCGGCCCCCTCTTCATTTAATGGCCGTGAATAATTCATGGGATCCGTCCTGACCCATGCCCGTGACCATATGCTGTAAAATAAGCGGAGCTGTCAGCGTCTTTTAATTAGGGGGGGCTCGGGCCCTGCGACACCCTTATGCTAATCCATCAATTATTCTTGGAGCCTGTCCCACTTGACTTGGTCACACTTAACTGGCTCAACCCGGGGTAGCTCATCACAGCCAATCATGGCAGCTGTTAGCTATCAGGTGGTAAACATCTGCCAAACTCCCAGGCTGCTTATTGGTCAACAGAGTTGGGGGATCAGTTTGGCTGCTCTGGTTGGGATGAGCCTATGAGTGAAGTTAAGGACCCACAGCCTCAGCTGGCTGATGGTTCATGGTTCTGCTCTGGCTGATGGCCCTGCGAGTCGACACTGACCGTAGATCTTAAAGGCGTAGTAGGCTTTGAGGTCCCGTGGGGCCATTTCGCTCAGCGCAGAGAACATGTCCAGGAAGTCGTCCAAGGTCATGTTGCCCTCGCCATCCTCCGAGAAAACCTGGGCTATTCTCTGCCGGAACGGGTTGTCCTGCAACATGGAGAGAGAGGCCATTTTGGAGTAAAGTCAACTTAATTTTCTTCAGAGCTGTAAATAAAGAGACCTCTCTATATTTTTTAGAAATCTGCATTTTTAAATCCTGATTTATTCTTGGTTCTGCTGGTAGAAGGCTACACTGTGACGCCGGCTCCTTCCCGGCTCAAAATTTCAAAGACGGCGTGACCCAGGAACAAGGTGAAGCAGGAGAAGCTGGCAATAACCAAAAACCAGCCAGGCAGAGGGCAGAAGCAACTTTCTAATGCCAGAGGTGACTCAATTTATTCAACAGTGACTCATGAATCAGAGTATGACCTCAAGTGACCTTCAAAAAGAATGGGAAACATTAAGTGCAGGACTGAAGTGTACTGCTAGGACAATTTGTAACAGGCTCCTAGGAGCTGGATTGAAGACCCATAAAGCAAGGAAGAAACCATTTATAAATGATAAGCAGGGAAGAGACCAGCAGGAGTTTTTTTTATGTTAATTTTACAAATATAATCAGAAATTGAGAAATTTGTTAAACTGAAATTTTTGCTGTGGTCTGAATTTTTACAGACTGTATATAGCAGATTAATGACAGCCCTCACTGACCAAAGTGCTTCACATACATCATAAAATCAGAGCATGATATCAAGGCATAAGACCAACATGAAACAGATACACAGTCTGCTCTGCGATATATTTACATTTAAGTTTCCTCAAACGAGCATGAATGGGGGGTGGCAAGAGGTCTGAGCCCGTGCTGTGCTGGACGGAGGGTAACGGAGCCGGTTCAGGATCCGATGAGGCGTGAACCCGCAAAGGGTCCTCTCTATTAGTAAGCCATGAATGATTAAGTAGCAGTGGCACGGCGCAGAGCTGGCAGCCCTACCTTCAGCTCCGGCATGCTTCCAATCAGCTCGTACGGCAGCTTCACATCTGGCTTGCTGGTGTAGTCCAGGGGGACCAGCTGGGGTGCCAGGTTGTGGTAACGGTAGAACAGCCTAGAAAAGCATCCAATCGCTGTTAAAGGAGATTCTGACCAGGTGGTTATGTGCCAGAATTCAACATATGATCTGTCTCATTTTCCTTCAGGCAATCGGTTATTGATGAACTTGCAATCACAAAAGGTTTATTCACGTCGCTAAAGCATTACCTCGCAGCCTTCCCGTGATGTTTTTTGGCGGTCAAGTACGCCAGGCTTTTAAAAACCACAGTAAAGCGCAAAAAAATAGGCGCCCCAAATTGCGGGGCATAACCCTTGACGGTCTGGTTTATGGAAATGATCAAACGCTTGTCATCATATATGGATGCAGAATCTTACCGTAAAATTTCCTTCCTGGTGAAAAACGTGCAGTCCTACAAAGACATACACATGAGCAATAGTTTAAACAGACATGTTTCGTTTTTTGACGGTTTTGCTTTCTGCAGAAGTTTATAGTGAGCCAGAATAGGGAGACCCACGTGACGTATTGGTACAGGGTCAACCTGAGTACAAACACTGAACAAACAAAAACACTGAGCTCAAATCTATCGCAGCACAGGCAATTAAAACCATTGTCTGAGTAACTGGCAATATAGATAATAATCCAAAAATAGGTCCCATATGAGAGATCATTAAAAGTTATATAAGTCACCGATGCATGGTTTTTACAGCTGCAAAGTGCCCTCTATATACAGACTGCCGGCTCCCACTGATGTATATCTACGTTTAAACCAACCTCCTCGCTTTTGTGGTTTTTCTTTAAGGGTTTTCTTGCGGATAGAGCGCCCTGCCTCCCTCCTGGCAGAGTGACCTACCTGATAAGCGTCTAGCTGCTGGGGGGTGAAGATGGTCTGTTTGTTCCCCATGCCTTCGCCATCACCAGCTTCGGTACCGAGTGATGGAAACCCGGGATAATTCAGATATGAAACGGTGCTGGGACAAAGGGCCGGGACGCGCACGGGGGGCGGGGGGAGGATCGGGTGTCGGTCGGCAGTGGGGCATTTAGTTCCCCGTTATAATAGAGGCGTTTTATCGTTTTTCATCCCCTTTGAACATGAACAAGGGCTGTCCTTGGCTATCACTCTGAGCGCCGTTAAGCCCTTGGCCGTGCCCTGTGGACAGGCCGGACCCTACCCCTTTCCCAGGCTCGTCTTACAGATGATTATTTGGTCATTATAAATCCGTATGGCTGCCTGTCATCTATAATGCGGCGGCTGCGATGATCTCGCTTTGTGTGGCGGTCTGTGCTGCTCACACGGGGGGTCTGGGAAAGAAACTCCATATTAAAACTTGATGAATTTTGGACTCATAGTCAAGGATTCTCTAACGTGGGAGTTTTAAAAAGTTTGAAAATAAGAAAAGATTACTGACATTTTAATACGAAACGCGATCGTTAGTATTCATATATAAAGCGTCGACATTTTCTTTGTAAATGTTTCCGAATGCACGGATTATTTACCCATGACAATACGTGTATGTAAATATAGGATCTTTCAGCTGTATTTCCATAACAGCCAAATGATTTTCTCTTTAAAATGTACATAACAGTGCTGGAAATAACGATAACGATGTTATAGTTGTGTCCTTTTTCCCCGAGTAGTGGGTTTTGGCAGTGGGCAGAACCTTTGGTGAAAAGACTGGAAATAAAACGTTAATAGAAAAAATACGTCGCCTTACCATCGGGACTGGTTTTCATGGGGGATGAATTATGAAAGGTTAAAAATTTCGGCCGAAACGGGCACCCCCTCCGAATCGGTCCCAGCACCAAAAACTCCTTGTGTAACGATGGATCAATAACAAAAAGTAGTTTCATTTTTGTACAGTATTACATTTTGGGTTGCGTTGGGTCATATGAATAATTTACGATGAAGTATCTGCTAGGCTACTTATATCAATGAAGTAGGTTATTACAGAAGAGGGATCTTTCTTTTTTTAGCAATATAACCGGCTTTTTAAGCGCAGGTGATACTTTCTCACGATTCTTCAATATTATTTTAAGGCTGAATGGGCGAGTGTTTGAACTGACGCCGGTGACATGCAATGAAAAACGACAATAGCTGATTTTGTTTAACTGTTTACTCATTTTCATAATTCTTAGCTTTGCGGCAAATAATTTACATATTTACAAATTTCACAGGATATATCGCCAAGCCCAGACATATATTATGATTTTTAGCTATTTACATATTTTACAGTGGGAGATGCAATCAGGGCTTTTCCCAGGGTACATGGGAGTGTCTGTGGTCAAAGGGCCAGGTTTTCCTCAGCTGAACTCCCCTTTCTCCTCCTGCAGTGCTGTCTGCTTAAGGAAACCCAACCTTCTCTCATTTTTGGCCAATCAAGTACACCATGAGGGGTGGCTCCTCTACCCACCCTGCAACTATTGGAGTACTGGACCCCTGAGGGGGCGTGGCTTCCCAGTAGCCAATGAGGTGTGAAGTGGAGGGGCTGATGGTGAGGTCCCCTAGTGGCATCCACAGCTTCCTGCCACCATGTCGTCATACTGTTTGAGCACCACGTTGCCGTCGTCGTCGAAGTAGAGCAGGTTGATGGAGAACAGCTTGTCGGGTACGCAGCAGGGCGTGTCGATGCCCCGGGTGAGCTTCAGGGCGTTAATGATGGACTGCACTGTGGCGTGGTTCGTGGGCCGCATGTTCTGGCCCAGCGGGAAGGGGCAGGAGCCCTTGCAGTGGTAAGCATTGTAGCCCCTTGGCGACACAATCCAGCTAGACCAGCCGATCTCCTCAAAGTCCACATAGAGTGGAAGGCGCTGGCACGGCGCCCCCTGTGGCAGCTCCTCGTCAAGCGAGCGGACAACCCGTGGCTCCCTAGATGGGACAGGGAGGGGGGAGCCACTGTGATCTGTATTAAAGGAAGGATAGAGTTAATAGCACCTGCTAATCAGCCATCCTCGTGTCACTTGAAATGAGAAACTACTGCAGTAATATTCAAACATTTTTTAACAGGCCCCCCTAGGGCTGATATATCTGTCCCCCCCCCCCCACACACACACACACACACAAACACATACATATTAACCCCAAATAAACTTTGATTATTAAATAAAATTAAACAAAATATATTTATTCTAATTTTTTACCTACATATAATATGCATGTAACGTGTTCACATAATTTTTGATATTTCTAAAGGTTGCAGTTAGGTCTGGCCCCACACAATTCTATTTTTTTTCCCTCACCCCCCTGCAAATCCTTTTGCTCCCCATCCAAGGGGCACATCCCATAGTTTGAATGACTGAACTACTGTTATTACTCATGCTAATCTGTGCCTAATTATTTTGTATAAAATATTACATTTACTGCTGTGGCTTGGGTCAAGTGCTTTGCTAAACCATATAACAGCAGTGCATCTATACCAAGACTTCCTTAACTACTCTGCCACCTGCTGGTCACAGTGGTCGGTGATAAGCTCGTACCATTCAGTGTGCCCTCCTGCGTTGGGGTGCGGCGCCCGTCGTCTGTGAACAGCACCAGCATGGGCTGCTTGCTTTGGTGGTGGCTGCGCCCTGACGCAAAGCGTACCAGGGAGGGGTCCAGCTGGTAGCCCCCCAGACCTCGGATGCTGACCAGCAGGCCCAGATTACTGCCTTCGTCGGACATCCAGGAGCGCACCTGTGGGGGGAGATGCTGTTAGGACCCCCGGAGCGTATGCTTTTGTGTGTTTACTTATGATGTAACAGGGCATGAATTTAGGTTAAAATATTTAATATCCAGCTTAAATTAAATATAACTAATTAACCCCTCAATTCTCAAGCTCTTGGCTTATAAGATCGGCACTTACTGCTTGTGTGATGGAAAATACTTCCCAACCGCTGGAATGAATGGGCATCAGCCTCGAGGACAGCAACCTCTTGTCCAGTGTTGAATCCATCTTTCTGCCATTCAGAAGCTGGTAAACACTCACCTGTAGGACATAACCCCCCCACATCAGCTTCGAGTACAAACGTTACTCAGATTTCCCCGATACAGTTCACGTTCGCTACACGCAATTACAGTTTCTGAGCGTGAACGATCGAGCTGATGCGGCACCTGGCAAAAGTGGTGTCTGCTGAAGGTCTGCACGGACTGCGGGCGCAGTTTGAAGAGGTGAAGCTCAGCGGCCAGCACCTTCTCGCTTTTAGACACCGTTGATAAGTTAAACATGAACTTGATTTCCTCGCTGCGAACTGTGAGGGGAAACAGACATAGACATGACTTTGGGACTCACAGTTCATGCAAGGTTAAAGATATTAAATGTACCTCAATATTATTTTAACATACTGGCGACCGTGCAGGTCTATGTTAAGAAAATGCCAATGAAAACGCATCTAGATGCGGAATTAATGCTTACGTAAACCCCTTACGTTTGTCGAAGAAGCCCCGAACGGTGTTTCCCTCCAGCAGGTTAGGATCTTTGGTAACTCCGTCCACGTCTGCAACCGTGTTGTACAGATCGACCATATACTGGGGGGGCTGCACGTGGCCCCTGGCGTGAGGCGGGTCCTCCATGCCGAACACCTCCAGGAGCCTCCTCAGAGCCTCGGATCGCACCCCCTCCGAATCGCTCCCGGCACCAAAGTCGTTTTCCAAGTAATTCGCAGATGGCCTGGCGAAGGCGCCGGCGAGCAGCGCTCCGATGATCAGGACAGTGAACATGGTGGCTTGAGGTCAGCTGCTCCGGCTGCTGTGCAGATGGGTGACTGAGGGACTAATCGGGGGTTTGCGCCGTTTTATATCAAACCACCGAACATCGCAGGGAGACGGTGTGTGTCTAAGCCCTCGAACAACAGCTATAAAAGATGCCATTAAGTCGCAAATGTAAATCAACAATCAGTGAATGTAAAGGAAAGCTAATGGCGGTGTTAACAAGGTGCGAACGCTGATTGCGCTGGACCCCAATTCCTGTGCTATTGTGCGGAAATAAAAGAATGTCCCATATTTATCGAGAGCTTTCGGATTTATGTGCCTTTGTCCAGCCTAAAGTAATATGTTCTGTGTTTAAGTGAAACGTATTAAAAGACAAATGGACTCAAAATGGGCACGAAAAGGCCGTGGTTAGAATTCAACAAGGAAGTTTACTCTCCGTGGGAGGTTAATGTCCTCTAAACGGATCCATTAATTCAGACAAAAGAGTACAATGTCTTACAGGAACGCGAATTAATGTGCTTCTGAAAACGAACATGAGGGAATGTTTTCAGCTTTCAAATAGCAAAGCCATGGACCATTTATTCGAACGCTCTATCTGTAGGCCTATATTTATTTATATTTTTATATATTTATTTTTATATTTATTTATCGGGAAAACGCCTAAAATATTCGGATGTATTTCCGACATAAAGCATGGCAGGATATCGGGGTTAGACTCCGATTTCACTCGTTATTTGCAGCATTTTTTTAGCATTAAGCCAGTAACAGACGGATACGCCTTTTTAATAATGCGACGTGAACTGCTGTCCCAGCGAAGATCCAGAGGGGATTTTTGCCGAATATGCATCTCTGTTTCCGATTGTCCAAAACGGCCTGGTAACTGTCCTGATCCGTCTATAGACACTAATGGAGCAGTAATCGAATGCCGCGCTGTCTCCCACCTTGTTCATTGCTGACGTCATCCCAAAACGTGCAACTTACAGAACATAAATTAAAAAACACACGGCCTGTAAAGCTAATCTCATACTGCGTACAGCATTTGATGTTGGCCTATTTAATAGTGTTAATGGATTTAATGATCCATGGATACGTAGATAATGTGTGATAATATGCTCAGTTTACCTATCCATTATTTTATTTGTTTTTATCCATCTTAATAATCATATCTACCAATTTCTTTAGGTTTACAGCTTGCATGCAGTTATTTAATAATAATTCAGTACGGCAGAATACTGCAGAAACGGTCATTCTTCACGAAAGTAATAGATTCAAGATTCTCTATTTCTCACATGCATATAGTGTTTTAATATTTTAAAACTTTCGGTTTAGTTGATGGCCTCTGGTTATCCATATAGCAAATGCGAACCTGCCCCCTGACTTTTCCACTTGGGTGGTATTAAATATCAACATAATTATCCACGGCCATCCTGAGGGAACGGAGGAGTTCTTAGATCCCTATAAGATCACTGGGTTTCAACCCTAAAGCCATCATGTATCACCTACCCGTCACAGATAGCAGGTAGCTGGTATTAAAAACACACACACACACACACACACACACACACAGGGGCAATAAGCCAGCGAGAACGAGTCTTGTGGGAAAATAACAGTGTCTCGTCATGATTTCAATAATCCAAAGCATTTAAGGATCGGGGATTGTATGTAGCGTTACACATTGAAATGTTTATGAGATTTTACTGAGGATCAAAGCAGTCAAACACTTCAGACGGCATTTTACCGTAGTGCTCGTACAAAATGCATACAAAATTTCATTAATTTAAAATACGATTGATTTCACGGCCTTGGGCGTTCCAGAAATATTCCTCAAAATCAGTCGAATGTGGATTTTGTTAAGGTAGGCCTATTTAAATAATCTTAGGTATGATTCTGATCTTTGACATACATGCTTTATCAATTTTTAACTGCATGCTCGTGGTTTCTCTATAAAAGGTAAAGGTCGTTGAGGATATCGGCCTATAGATAAGTTTTATTCGCTTTTTTAAAGTGATTCATCCGAAATGGTAGTTGTGACGTCCTGCGACTCCCGCACCGCAGCTCTGGGCGCAGGTGTCAGGAAAACGCGCCTTAGCTTAAGCTGGGGAGTCAACAGAAAGCGGCACCCCGGGTCCGAATGAATTTGCTTTGCCCGACGTTTTAATGCTGATAATAGTCGTGATCGGATCTGTAACTGGTGCTGCCAGGAAAAAGTAAATGCTTAATTATGTTAACGCAGTGTAAACAAGAAACGATATTGTTGGCAATTAACATCCAACAGCATAAAACTTTATGTTTTCACATAAACAGTACGGTCTTTCTACTGATTAAAGCGGCTCGTGCTAATTCTGAAGCACCATCCATACATGCCAGATTTCTCCTGTAACACTTCATTCTATGTCTTAAAAAAGTATGCTATCTTGGTTGGGAAAATCAAAGCAGGTATTGATACATTTGTAAAGGATTTCCTTTTCCCATTATGAAATCCTCTCGTATATTTTCTATAAAGCACGGCTGTATTTAACGTTTTTTTATTATTATTATTGTACCAATGTCACTGTTTTCTGAAACCTTGGACCTGCAGTTTAGGAAATTATTTAGGGTCACTGTTCTAAAATATTTACATATTCAAATGAATATTTACATATTTTATTACAAAATATTTTTTTTCTATTATACATATTATACAAGAATATTTGAAGGCACAGAACATAATCATGGGGTGAAGGCCTGGAAGATCAGCCTGGTGTCTTCAGCGTCCACCCGTGTAGCTGTAGGTATGTCTACGCTGTGCTCCAGCAGATGGCGCTGTTCTCAGGACTGGCACGCGCAGGAGGTGATGGCCAGCACCGTGCGGATGTTTCCGTGCTGGTTGCGGAACACGTGGCTCTCGTAGCCCTGAGGAACGCAGGTGCTGGTTGGGCCTGGAGCCTGAAGCAAGCAGGCCTTGGGGTCCACGGAGCTCCTGGGGAGAGGGGATCGCGGTCAGCGAGACCGAGGCCCACAGTGGGGTAAACCTACTTCACAACTCAGCTTGCCACAATGAAGATAATTTAATAGCAATTCTTAGGAAAATCGTCAAAAAAAATTATAACGTTAAATGTTTAGATGTTACATCTCAGTTCCATCTGCAACACAACTCATATTTATGATTGTGAAAGTTGACAGAGAGCTTGTATCAAATAAGGTGTCCAGGGTGGGGAGTGTCTGGGTTGGGGGTGTTAATTGGAAGTTAAACAGACTTTTCAGTTCACCTTAAATGTGTTTATGGGGTTCTGTGTGGAGGCCTAGGTGTTAAAGCAAGCAAACCTTCTTCTGGGGGGTTTGTGTGCTTTTAAAGTGGGGAGGGGGTATGGGGGCCTAGGCACTGTATTTTGGGGGGGGGGATGGGGGTCTGGCAGCTGCGCTTACCTCAGGAGGCATCGACTTCCTGTGTTGCAGTTTCCCAAACATCTGCCCACATCAATTTCCTGGGGAGCATTAGCAACACAAAGGACAGCTGGTCAGTTCACAGCGGGCTGGGGGGGCAGCTGCATGGATCAGTTGGGGGGGGGGGGGGGGCTTTCAGGAATTGGTCTAATTTGGCACCTGGCTGAAAGACACCCATTTGTGCAAGTGCCTTTTGTCGGGGGTGTCAGACGACACAGGAGCAAGTCACACATCCGCATGAATGAAGCAGGGTAGGGATTCGCTCAGCTGGAGCTGCTCAGCCAAACACGGCGTGAGGAGCATCATTAAATCTCAGCACAGAGCAGACAGTTACACAGATTACAAATCAGGCGGAGTATTCTAACAAGGTCTTGAGTTTAGAAACACTTTAACTAGTTCGAACCAGCTTTAACCCGCCTTGGTGTGACTTTCCGACTGATGCAGTCCAGTTTCAGTGCCTGGTGCGTCTGTAAACAGTGTCGCTAAGCTACTTCCTGTGGTGCTGCAATGCATTGTGGGATTGTGTTCAGCCAGGGGCTGACTCAGCTGTCACATGTGTGTATGACCACCTTGTCCAGTCAGCCCCATATCCGGCTGCTAGAACGAGGACGTGTAAATGCGGCTGAACTCTGACCTCCGACCCCTGTCTCACCTTCAGCTTCTCCTCCTTATCCCCCACCGGGCTGTGAGTAACCTCGTAGTAGTACTCCATGTAGGGGACACGGTAACAGCTTCGCCGCAGCTCGCAGGCGCTGACGGTCTGCACCAGTTGCACCCTGCTGGGAGTCTCCACCAGGGCAGAGTCGAACTTGATGGCGACGCAGGAGAAACCTTCTGGGAAGACAAACCATGGAAGGGCTTTAGTGGAACCAGGAAGCACCATCCTTAAATAAGGACAATAAAATACTGAGAAGCCCAAAAAACTAACCCAAGGTTTCTAATGCAGTCCTTGGGGACCCCTAGAAAGTCAATACTCTCTAGGAGTTTACCTGGGAGCAACAACGTGGATTGTCTGGGGGTGTTATGAAACACTGCTCTATGATGCAGGACCAGTCAGGAGACGGTGATAAACTAAACATCATCAGTGGTTCACACACCTAGCGAGCCTCTGGCTGTGGAGCACTTCCCGACGTCCAGGACGGACTGGTAGGGCGTGTCGTGGTGGTAGGTCTTCAGGGCGGGAACGCGGACACAGTGCATCAGCCGCGGCTCGCACTGGCACTCCTCCACCACCTCCACCTCCCGCGGGCCCTCAAACAGCAGCACGCGCTCCACCCGCACGCTGGCCGCGACGCAGTCCGCACTGGGGCCGCAGGACGCCAAGGGGCCCGCCCGTTCCATCTCAGGGCTGGCCAGATCCTGCATCCTCGCCTGGGGGAATTTAGGGAGAGGCTATTTTTGACACACATATATTTTTATATATTATAAACAGAGGTGGAAAGTTCAGGTTTAGAAAGTACAAATCCAGGCCAAGGTTTTGTTTCAACCAACCAGTTGAGTAAAAGGAGTCACAGTCAGTGAGTGCTGAACTGGCTGGGTGGAACAAATTCCTGGTCTGGAGTTGTACTTCCTGAACCTGAACTATCTAACACACTCTCTCTCTCTCTCTCTCTCTATATATATATATATATATACACACACACACACACACACACACACATATACTGTACAAATACAGTAAAGGTATTCTATTCTATTCAGCCCATTAACACAGTATAACTTGAACCACATTTCATCTTCAATTAACATGCTATCTAGAATCAAAAAGCTCAGTTAAAATGGTTCAATAATAATAATTTTACATGTCTTTTTTTCATTGATTTTTAGCCAAAGAATATGCTGACTAGGAGGCTCTGAACTAAAAGGGTTATGCCGCCCCCTGGTGGTTGATAGTTAACTGCACCGGCGGGACCGCGCACCTTTTTACTCCTGAGGAATTCCAGCATGGACACGTGTTTGGGAAACGCCGGCTGTCCGGGTTCATAGGAGGGCGTGGATCTGGAGGCTGCACAGTGCGTCCTGCACATTCCCACGTCCAGGCTGACAGGGCTGCCAGAGATGTCTGGGTGAGAGGTAGAAGTAACACGGTAAACATTCACTAGAGGTAAGTGGTGTTTAATCATCATATGTCACATGTTACACTGTAAATATCAAGAAAGCTGCAGCCATTAATCTGTATAACCAGCAAAGCAATCAGGAGATTAATAAGCACTCAGAGCGGCCCAGTCTGGCCCGGTTCTGTACCTTGGCCCACATAAATGATGTGACTCTGTCTCCTGCAGCAGATTCTCTCCGTAAAAAGGTTCTGGTGCCTGCCTGTGGACGCTGAGGGGACCCAAAATGCATGTCAGTGTCACTGCAGATCGGCGCGCGCCTGAGAGTTTGGCCCCCACAATCACACACATGTGGGGGGCGGGGCTACTTACGGAGCACGTGAATGGTCCAGACGGCGAGCAGCAGGCAGGGTGAGAGCATCTCCATGGCTGGGACGCCTGGCCTTCTGGCTTCCTCCCAGTCGATACTGAACTCGCCCAGCCGGGCCCCCTGTCCTTTATACCCACCCCAAGGCGAGGCCCACGCAGGGTGGGGTGGAGAGAGCCGATAATCAAATTTCCACTCTTGACAGTCTGAGGGTCCCCTCATTTGCAGGAGGGAGGGGGCACTTCAAAGGCCATTCCTGCACTGACCACACGCCTCCTGTTAAAGACGCTTAATTAACTGTCTTAAGCAGCTTTGGGTTCCTAAACCTCCACTCTGGGCATTGATCAGCTTTCATCTCGGGAGGGGGTGAGGGTGTTTAGCACCTTGACTAAAACTACTCAAATCTGGTAATGTGAGGAGCATTAAGGAGGGGGGGGGGCAGCTAGCAGAGGTGGGGCCACCGGGGATGGGTGGGGGGCTTGCTACCTTTGTGTTGATTCAATGTGTCACCAAATGGCCTCTCAAGGCCACTGCTGAACAACAGAGTGGCAAAGTTATAGGGTCGATCCCCCCCCCCCTGCACTGCCATCACGTGTCAACTGGGCACAGAGGTGGAAATTTCAAGTCCAGAAAGTAAAAATCCCAATCCAAGATTTTGTTTCAACCAGCCATTTCAGCATAAAGAGTCACAGACACAGAGTACTCAGCTGCTTGGTTGGAGCAAAATCCTGGGCTGGATTTTTTACTTTCTGTGCCTGAAATTTCCACCTCTGACTGGGAAACATCAGGGATCAGCTGGGAAATTTGGCCATCAGACTGGAATGGGGCAGGTCTCAGTACTCTGGACGTATTCACAGGTTAATTAACTAAATGTTTGTTGTTTGTGTGAAGCTCAATCATGCTCCTTGAAATTTCAGCATCAGTGTTGCCTGTGCAGAAAATGTCCATGTGAGACACCTTTTGGAGGAAGAACTGCAGGTGAACCTGGTGACAGGGGCCGGTGACATCATATCTCCTGAGGCTCACATCACACTTGGAGACTCAGATCTACCCCAGTGTCTGGGCTGATGTACAGTGGATATACAATGTTTACACACCCCCTGCTAAAATGGCAGATATCTGTGATGCACAGAAAATAAACCAAGATAAATCATGTCGAATCTTTTTCCACTTTTAATCTGAAATCTCAGCCTATACAAATAAGTGGAAAAAATAATTTTTACAATAGCCTGGTTGCATAAATGAGCATACCCTTTTATAACTGAGGATGTGGCTGTGTTCAGAACCAACCAATCGGATTCACTCTCAAGTTCACTCTCAAATGGCACCTAATCTATACCTACCATCAGGTTAAATGACTCTGATCAACTCCAAATAAATTCCTGCAGTTCCTGTAGGATTTTCCCCACCGTCTTCTTCCTTGTTTCCAACTGCATGGTCTGCAAAGAACATTCACAGCATGAACAGCATCTCATTGTTGAAAGGTGTTGATCCAGAGATGGGTAGAAAAGAATATCCAAAGCATGAATTATACCTTGGAGTACAGTGAGGGTGACTGTCAACAAGTGGAGAGAACTTGGCACAACAGTAGCATTGCAAAGAACAGGACGTCTTCCAAAACCGACGAGGAGACAAGATTCAGATTGTTCAGGGAGGCTGCCAAGACGCCAATGGAATTGGATCTGCAGGAATTTCTGGTAAGTACTGGTTTAACAACAACTTCCCCTGTTCTTCGGGCATCTAGGCTATAGGGTGGGGCAGGAGGACAGAAGCCTTTTCTCCAGAAGAAAAACATTCAGGCCCCTGAGAAAGTCGCAAAGAGATTGATCCAGTCTCCAGAGTCACGTGGAAAAATGTGTTTCGGCCTGCTGAGACCAATGTTGAACTTTGTGACCATAATTCCATGGTGCAAGGTTCCTGATTGTTTTACCTTATTTGTACAGGTTGTAGGTTCACATTAAAGGTGGAAAAAGTTCTAAAATGATTTATCTTGGGTTAATTTTTTTTACATCACTAAAACCTGAAAATTTAAGAGGCCATGTAGGCTTTTCACATCCACTGCAGGGTGATCAGTTACCAGCCGAGAACATCCCTGTTTCCCTTGTTGAAAGGATACCAGTCAGTTTAGCTGTTAATGAGTCTGTCAGCTGTTAAGGACATCAGTCACCACCGAGAAGAAATGCCTCATGATCACTGTAAGATGTTGTAATTCCTCTGCCCAAATCAATGGCAGCGTTACACTTCAGTGACGTGTTTCTCCAGATTAAGGTCTCAGCCTTTGAAGTCCTGACTGCTCCTCAGTCATTGTCACCTGGATCACAGCGGGTGGCTCGGTGACTGAGGGAAACCACAGAGTGCTGCCACAGGACCAAGACTGCAGCTCCCACGCACAGGTCTACGTCAAGCCTTTCACGTTGCGTGTGGAAACAGGCCAAGAATAAGACAGCATGCAGTTCAGTATAAAACACCAAGGCAGCGTCAGCTTTCTATTGTGCCTTAAATGATGCTTAACACTGTTTGCACCACAGCAAACTTTCACTGCAGGAAACCCATAACGTCACACATTTTAAACTTCAGATACTGGAGTTGCTTCATATATCTGCATGCAAAACCCTCTATTACAATGCACTGCAAACCCAAATATAACCTTCACATAACTCCACCATAGTGTTTAGGTCTGGACACCACAGACTGAGATACAAGGAAAATTTAAATAAATTTATTTGTTTTAAAAGTCATACAAAAATGCAACACTTTGAAAGTAAGTACTGTAAATACAGAAGAATTCCTCCAGTGTGGGCAGGGGTATGTGTCTGTATCAGGTCGTCTTCGAGGACTTCTGAATGAAGTAGTGAAGCCCAATCCGTCAGTCCAAAGCACCTGAATGGGAAGTTAATAGGCAGCTGAGAGGTTAATTTGATCAGCACAAGATGGACTCATCCATCTACCTCTCCTTCCTTCCTATCGACTCTGGTATATGCACCAGCCTAAGCATTGTGTAAGCAAGAGAACGAAACAGACCTTCCAGAAAGGCGAATTCGTCCACAGCCTCGATGGCGTTGTCTGGAGGGGGAGAGCTTGTGGTCAGGGGGAGAAGCGCTCATGCGAATGACTGAATGGGACTCAAGGACACGAAAACCCACCCAGGTCCTTCCTCTGCAGAGTCTTCCTCTTTCCCTGTTGGGCGAACACCAGCGCATCCTTGGCTATCATCTCCACGAAGAGCTCCTGCAGGTGGACCCGAAAGTGACCCCCTTCGTCATCATATCACCACTACCATCATCATCATCATCATCATCATCATCATCATCTACGCCTCCAAAGCCCCTCTCCACCCCCACCGCGGTGACCCCACACGGACCCTCACCGTGGCCTTAGCAATGATAAAGACGGACTCCTGGCTGGCTAGGGATACGTCTGGATCGGCCTTCATCAGGGCCTTTATACGGGATAGCGGCAGCTTGGCCAAGCGGGAGGTGGGTCCGGGAGCCGCCGGCTGGCTGCTCTCCTCCTCGGTGTTGTTTTCGCGGCCGTCCCCCTCCGTCCCGCTCGGGTCCAGCCCTGGTTCCACAGACGCCGTGACTACCGCCGCCATCCTGCTGGTGTAGAAACACGTCCGGGCGATATAACGGCAGGGATGCGCTACATCCACATCTCAGGCGGGTTTAAAACGTGCAATTCGGTTCGTGCGTACGGCACAGACCCGCACCTCCCAAACTCCCGGCCGGTACGTGCTCAGTTACGCAGCTGACGTAACGGCGTCTGTGAATAACGCGTAGGCGCTCCTCTCTCCCGCCAAAACTAGGAGCGTTTCTGCCTAGCTGCCTGGCAGCAAGCTTGCTGCGTCCGCCCGGGATCGTCGTCAGAGTATCCTAACTAAAAGTAGAGCCGTGTGTTCATTACTGTGTATTTTTATCAGACAGACGAGAAACATGCTTCTTTTTTATTTATAATTCTTCACGTGCCAGCGCAGTTATGCCCAATCAGCTGTCGAGTTTAAAAGCACCGAATTACCCCGGCTCCGTTCATGCATTTGTCATGCAGTTGTCATATATTTTGCACACACAGCAGCCTACTTGGCGTGCACGTTTGGCTGAGCGATTAAGATCAAGCAGAAATACGGCTAATAAGCTTTGTGAGCGCAGCTATCTGCTTACTCAGCTCAGGGACGCGCATGAGCTGAGCGCGAGACGCTGCACCAGCGTCTGGGCTTAATGCGCTTTAATATAAATAGTGTGTTACTGTTATGGGCGATTACAGTGTTGTTACATTTTAACTTGAACGTCTACAGAACACACAATATCACTGGCAGTTCCGTCTAAACGATGGAACATTTTGTATTTATACCGCTTTTTATTATTATTGTGAGAGACGTTGAACGATTAGTTAATTAAAAAAATCTCATTACTACTAATCATACCTATATCGATTTTATTGTGCACTTTTAAATAATTAGTTTAAAAGTTAAATTCTACATATATTTAATATGTATAATACTTTTTATAGATTATATTTAAACATCTCAATTATACACCTATTTCCAGTTATACAGTAGGTATTGTCACATGAGACAAGGAAGTTTTCCACTGGTTGTCATTTATAGAGCAGATAATCAGTTACCTACAGCGGCAGAAGGAGCTTAATGCCATTCTGCCATTGTCTCTGTGTGCCAAGAATAATTAATTGAGATTATTTATTATAATTGCTTTGGGTCGGACTGAAAACAGACCTACAAAATGGATGCATGACAGATGGGTTACAGTAGTGGACAAGTCGGGCATCTGGGTCTGGTTGTGTTTCCTGAAGCAGGAGAAAAATGGATACTTTGCCTCTGAGAGATGAAAAACTGCAGGACATTTGCTTAACGCACCACAAGAGGGCGCAGTGGGGAAAGCAGGTTTCACTGGCCTCCAGGAGCCCCCGGCGGCCCCCCTGATCTGGTCTGCTCCTGGCTTACCGGAGAAGATGACAGAAGATGAAGACGTCTGGTTTTCACGGCTTGTTCCTCTTGCAGGAGGTCATGTGTCTTAGGCTCTCCCGCGCTAATCCGTCCTGGGTGACAGTGTGCAGACACCCAACCGCTAATCTGCTATTTAGGTTTGCGTGACTTTCCAATGGGTAAGGAGCCTAGCTGATGGGTGTCTGTCTGCCTGGGGGATAATGTTTCCTCACACTGCTCTGCCGCAGTCGGCTGGCCTCCACACCAGAAGAGGAGTAGAACGTCCAGCCACTGGGCACACGCCCGACCCCCTTAGCCTGCTGCAGAAGCCCCTACCTGGAGCCGCGTGACCAAGAGCAAGATCAGCAACCCAGAAGAGCACAGCGGTCGCAGGACAGGCCGTCATCGCCATCACGACTGCATCGGTAACGGCTGTACGGCCCGGCCCAAAGCCAGAGGACTCAAACAGCATGCACAGGGAGAGAGGCGTTAAGATGGGAAAGACCTCCAGGGCAGGAAAGGGGAGGCTTCTACGTGAGTTGCAGAGATCTTATTGGAGACTTGGGCTTGTCCATCATGTTGCATCTGCTTTTCATTTGTTATTTTTTTTTGCTCGTTTTTCTAACCCAGAACCCTGTGCAGAATTTTGATTTGCACATCTTTTATTTAATTAAAAATGCATCTTATGGTTGCCACTTTTTGGCTCATGGCAAAGACGTACCATATTCGCAGACATGCCGCGTACGCCGTTATTGGATATATGGAGCAGGTAGGCAGGCTGCAGACTGTAATGACGACCAGCTGGGCGCCGCTGCTCTGTGGCCTGTCTGCTGTAGTTACTGGGATTTACATTAATATTTGTTCTGACCCCCTCCCCACCCTGGGGGACACAGGTTACAAAGCCCACCGGGAGCTCTGGATCAAGCGGGAGAAGGTGAATCCATGGGCCACGCCCACAAAGGAGGCACAGGCAGGGCTGAAGGCAGAGTCCCCATCCCCTGCTGTCAGGGATGGATCACATGCAAGCTGCAGCCCCTTTGAGAAGGTCCTGCATGAGATGATGCATGATATGCGGGTGACCCGTGACATCACTCTGGGCCGTCGCATTGGCCTCTACGAGTTGCGTGGCGAGATCGGGGCCGGAAATTTCTCCCATGTGAGGCTGGGGATTCATGTGCTGACCAAAGGTGAGATGGGGGGCGGGGTTACCGACCTCTAATAAGTTTCTTAATAAGTCAGTGTGAGGAAGGGGCGTGGTCTCAGAGGAGGGAGTCATGTGACTGAGTGTTGAGTCATTCCACCTGGTCTTTGTAGTTTTCTTTTTTTGTCCCTTGAGTCTCATTTGCAGCAAATAACTTATGTCATTCGGGGTCTGTGAGACTCTTTAGTTTTGTTAATGTGTGAGTGTCTCCCAGCATCGAGAGTGGATGTTTACTTCCGTCTCATTTTCGTAAGCTGACCTCTGACTTTCTGCGGACTGGTTCATCAGGACCGTGCAAGAGAGACATGCCATTACCCCCAGAACATGTGTGTTGTCACCCACCTGTGCTTAGAATGCCAGGAGGGCACAATTAATGCCCTTTTTTCATGGTTTGCATAAGCGAGGGCCAGACTGGGGGGGGAAATGTCTCCTTTTGTGTTTTGATCCCCTGTCATTTCTCTCACTTGTGGAACTCAGAACAGGTAGCGATCAAGGTTCTAGACAAGAAATCCGAGCTGTTTGCTTCGGAGATCTCCTGCATGGAGAGGCTGTCTCACCCCAACATCGTGTGGCTGTATGAGGTTCTCGAGACGCCCCGCCGCCTCTTCCTTGTGATGGAATATGGCAGTGGAGGAGAGCTCTTCTCCCGCATCGTCACCAGGGGGCGCCTGAATGACCTGGAAAGCAGGCTGGTCTTCTCTCAGATCGTCTCCGCCGTCAAGCACATGGTGAGTTCTCCTGCCGTGGGCGAGATGCAGGGAAAGATACATCTAGTACATTTGATACATGAAAAAATGCGAGGAGCTGCCAGAACAAACAGGAGAGCAAACACAGCCTTCTGTAATATTTATTGTTTCTCCAACCGAGCGGTTTTGGCCGATTCTGAAAGGAAATCCAGGTTCCGCCAGTTTATGGAATCCTCCGGGAAATCAGTTGCACTCTACAGGTGTGGTTAGCAGTGAGGATTCCCTGCCAGGCTGCCGTGTCAGGGCCGATCCAGCTCATGGGCCCACGTGTTCCTTCTGGTCCCCTTCCAGCACGACAGAGACATTGTGCACCGGGACCTGAAGGCGGAGAACGTCTTCTACACCACGGGCTGTTGCGTCAAGGTGGGCGACTTTGGCTTCAGCACAGCCTGCGGTCCCGGCGAGCTCCTCGGCACCTTCTGTGGTTCCCCACCCTATGCCGCGCCCGAGCTCTTCCGGGAGAGGGGCTACGCGGGCCGGCCGGCGGACATGTGGGCGCTGGGCGTCCTGCTCTACTTCATGGTGACGGCTAGGCTGCCCTTCAGCGCCGACAGTCTGAGCTGCCTGAGGAAGTCCATCCTGCGTGGCACCTACCACCTGCCCGCCCATGTCCCTCCGCCCTGCCGCCGGCTCCTCCGCGGCCTGCTCCAGCCCGCGCCGCCGGACCGCCTGTCTGTCGCCCGGGTGATGGGCAGCAGCTGGCTGATGGGCGTCGCCTCCCCCAAGCCGTTCCCCCCCACCCGGCCCACCCCGGCCCTCCTGCTTGAACCATCGCCGGGTCTCTCCGTGGAGGAGGTGGAGGCCAAGGAGGCACTGGGCCTCCTGGGCGTGACGGAGGCTCACCTGAGCAGCAACGCCTGCGCCGACCTGCGCAGCCCCGTGACGGGCGCCTACCGCATCCTGCTGCACCGCGCTCAGAAGTGCCGCGCGGCGGCGGCCCTGGAATACGCCAGTCTCTGCCCCGACGACTTCCAACCCGTCGACCTGCAGGGGGGCGACTCCGCAGCTCTGAGGAGACACAGCCCCACCGCCGTCTGCAGCATTTTGTAGGCGCAGTTAAGGCAGCCGCGCACTTCCGGACAAAATGAAAAAAGGAAAACCCGTCAGCAAGAACAGTCTGTCATATACTTAAAATGATGCTGATACCATGTTCCTTATGTGTCACTCCACAACCCTAGAGTGCGCAGAATGTTTTACCTGCAGCAGACCCACATACTGAGCACAAATATACCTACTGTGGTGAATGCGTGAGTCATTTTAATAAAGGAGATGACATCCTTTTTTAAAGAGGAAGTAGCTCTTCATTAACAGCCACTATTAGTTTAATTCTTGCAGCACAGACAAGGAAGGCAGCAATTTACACGACACTCGCGGTTACACGCTAACGAAACACATGCATTTCACGGTAAACATCACTTGGTTACAGCATTTATTATTCAGAACATAAATACACAGATGCACATTCATTTACACGATTTAAAGTGTGGTGCAGTGCAAAGCATGCTGGTAATTGCATAATTGGTTCTGCTGACCAACCCCACAGCGTCATATTATGTCAGCCAATCGTGTATCAGAATAAATGAAAAAAGTTACCTCGAGTTCCCTAAAAGGTGGTGATCACCGCTCATACAGTGCCATATTAGCTAAAACGCCATCAATTCTGTCAATTTTATTTGAAATATCTGGTTACCTTTAGACCCATGTTAATGTAGGTACGCCAGATGCATTAACCCAGTAACCTGCGTGTGTAATTGTATTGCACCCTCTTGTGGCCAAAGTGTATATGGCAGGAATGATATTGTGGCCAAATGCAAGGACATAAAATCGCAGCTCGGTTTGTCACAGGATCACAATCAAAACTCTGTCTTCAAGGTGTTATTTTAATCCTGCTAGTAAAGCTCATTTGGAAACAAGGAAGTGATTTCCGGTGTAGTTTTTGCACACTTGTTCATTCTGTACAAGCAACGAACTAATCTCCGAAACAATATACTGCAGATCTTTTATAGTTCTTGAAAGTGTAAATACTTTTAATAGCTATTTCTTTTTTCTTGGCCTCTCCATGTATTATAAAAGGTGAAACTGAGGTTGTGATCAGATGAAACAGGCTTTGCCTGAGTGTTACTGGTGGTTATATCTGAGTGCAAAATAAAAAATACAGTCTGACATGACTTGCTGGCTGTTTGTATGTTTTTATTCAGTGAATCTGATGTGCAGATTAATGTTGAAAAGTTTTTTGTGACTTTTCTGACACTTTTACTAGTCATAGTTGGTAGTGTGTAGCTCAGAAAGTTAGCTCTCTGCGTGTCTGTGATCAGAAGGTTGAGTTAATGTATGTTACATTTATATAATGCTTTACAGAACCAATGGGGAGCCGCTTCAGCCACCCCCACTGTGTAGCCCCCACCTGGATGATGAAACGGCAGCCATTCTGCACCAGTACGCTCACCACACAGTGGCTAAGGTGGTGAAGGGGCAGGAGAGAATTTACAAGTTAGATATAGGGGATGATTAGGAGGCCAGATTTGATAGGGCCACAGTGGGCAGTTTTAGTCATCAGGACATTGGGATGTAGCCTGTATTTCAGCCAGTGTCAAATTTTATAGTAAGTAGTTGTTATGAAGTCGGATCATGCGGAATATTTTTGCTGGGAGCGGCAGAGGCCTCATGTTTTAGTTCCTGGGACAACGAGAGATCAAAATGGCCATGATAGGGTTTCTACTCCTAAACACATGATTCACATTCAGTGCTCCTGATATTCCCGTAATGGTAAGGCGTGGATAGGTGAACAGATTAGTGCTGATGTGTGTCAGCCAATCCCTGCTCTCATTCCAGTGTAATACATTAATTATAGATACATCCAAGATAAATGTGGTGCTCAGATCTGATAGAAAAGAACCTCTCTTAATTTTGTGATGTCACTCACAAGTTCTCTCAGTCTGAGTGGGAGGGTATGGTTGTGTAATAACATTAATAATACAATTAGCAATATGATTGTACTGTATATTCTGGGAAGCTTCTAGCAGACTTTAATTCAACCAAGCCACAAACCAGGGAGGATCCTCTAAGTGATTGAATCAGACTGAATTTACCAGCAGAGGTTAATGGGAATTTCTTAGATGAGAGTGCTGTGCAGTGCCATTAAAGAACGAGCAGATGACTACTATGGTTATTAGGAATTGCTCTGATAGGGATCTCTCATTAATGTTTTTACATAACACTCTGGTGTGACCGGACTGGCCATTATGTTGAGACACACTTAGACGAGTTTATGGGGATTTGTAAGGCCTTTAGAGCTGTTGAGCTGTTGATCCTGGTGATAAGGAACCTCTCACTGGTGATGTAACCACTGTTGTGCCTTCAATAGGGATGTGTGAACTTAAATTCCGCAGGGGATAGTGTATTGGGCATATCAGAGAGGGCACTGCCACGCACTGCTCAGGCTGCTCATGTGAGCCATGGTAAGTGTGATGCAAGGCCAGTGTACAAGTATAAAGTGCATAGCACCACTGCACACTGTAGGCAACACAAGCAGTGGGTGCAGTGCTTCAGTCCTGGGCACATGCATGTAGGGAGCCCAACCCTTTTAAACTTAATCTACTTTTCAAGTGGCCAGCATGCCGAGATCTGCCAGTTCAAATAGGGAGCCACAGCTATTACTCTGTTACTCTATAATTACTCTAGCTATTGTCTTTCTACATAGTTAACATGCACACAGCAAATCCAGACAAATCTAAGTAATTCTCCAAATCGAATAAGTGTAAAATTTATCTACCTTACTGGGACCGCTGGCACTGGGAAGATGCTGTGCTGACTTTCCAGTTCTCGCACTATTCAGCTGTGTATGGCTGTTTTAGCAGGGAACTGGGTCTCGTAGCTTTTGGGCATCGTTTCGAATTGCCGCTCCAACCTGCTCTTCTTCCGTAAAGCCACGCTCGCATTGCATGTAAGACATATAAACTTCGAATTTTGAGTAAACAAAAAATAATCCTCTTCCCACTCTGAATGAAAATGATACATTTTTGATCCTTTGGCTTTTGACGTGTTTGCGTGCTAAATGTTTACAGTACATGATTAGTTGCACACTGAAAAATGGGCATGCATGCCCAAGTGCTCCGAGAATTACTAGTCGCGATCCACTGATTGGGCACCCCTGATGTAGAGTATCAGGGGAAGACGATCTGAGCACTCCTATCTAGGGCAAAGATCGAGCGGCGTCAGACACTTAATAGTTTGACTTTTGCGTACAGCGGCACAGTCCATGACACCACTGGTTCTGCTCCTTTCTCTCTGATGCACGGGCGGACCCTTAGTCATCCTCTTGATCCCACGTTTCAGTGTTTTGCCCGACGGTGATACAGTCGACATAGACAGGTTTGTTGAGTCGTTTAACATTAGAAAGACTGACTGGGTCAATTGACGTAATGTCATGCAAATGAATTAGATAACCAAGTCATAATAACAAT